CCTGGGTGAGTTGGACACTTTTCTGGGAACTGTCAAGAGTGTAGAAACAGGAAAGGCATGCTGGGAATGTCAATAGCAGAATCTGGTCTCACTGTTACCTTTACTTTTTAACACTGTCAGGAAATTTGGTAGCCTACAAAGAGGATCAGGGGTTTTTTTTTACTTGTAACTGGTTGTTTAAAATTGTTTAGGCTACATATGTGTCTTTCTTTGTGCTGAATGTTATAGGTTTGTATGTTAATTGCTTTTATAACCGGTTTTTAAGGTTTAATCTTTGCAAGCCACACAGAGAGCTTCAGAGGTGATGTGGTATAGACATGGAATAAAAGAAATGGAATGAGCAAACAGCATCCTGACCCACATTGCGTTATGGGTAAAGAGGACACATGTAGGATCATGCAAAGATGGCTGCCATCAGTTGGAGCTTAGCCATCACAGTGCTTTGTGTATTTTTCATTAGTGCAATCATGAGGCTGCCTTGACTACACTAGGGATGTCAAACCTTGGTCTGTGGACCAAATTTAAATACTCTCACTTAATAGAGTAAAGATTAGGATTTCCTAATATACCCCAGAGTTTAGTTGACAACCATGGGAACAATCCACCAAAATTACTGTTGCAACATCCCTGAGATTGGGCTGACACAGCAAAGAGGAGGGTTAGAAAACACAAACACAGACACACATTTTCCACATGTTCAGTGGTGTTTTATTTCCCAGATGTTTTTTATGTTCCCAGGCTGCAGGTTTATTTATTTGGTTAATTTAATTTCTATACCTCCCAGTAGCTGAAGTTATGCATTTATGACACATAAAATACAATATAAATACAGACAATGGAGCTGGTCTTTGACCACAATAAAGTCTGTCTGTCTGTCTAATATAAACACAGGCAGCCATAAAAACATCATAAAGTTATCATGCAGACTTTAGAACCAAATGTAAAACACATGTTAAAAAAGCTACAGTAATTGAATTTGTATAAGGCTCATTCAAGCAGCTAACAAAGCCCCAGAATAACAGTTAACTAAGTAAATGCTAAATGGTAGAAATTGACAATCAGAGATCATGATAAGCTAAACATAAGGGCCGTTGCATGAAGGGTTATCACATAGTGTGAACCCAGCTGAGGCAACGAGCCATGGTGAATAACCCCCCAGTTCACAGCTCAGCAACAAACCAGGTGTTCTCTCCATTGTTGTGGTTAACAAGCCATGGCTGGTTAGCACACCTGGATTCAAACACAATAACCCATGTTTCCTCAACCCATTGTTCAGAGGCAACCTATACTCAACCCCTGAGTGTGGACTACTGCATTGTTTGAACCTGGCCTGTGAAATCCATGTTTGAGGCTAAGCACTCTCCAGAGTTTGCTCAAGTTCCAGACATAGCAAGGTAGCAAGGTAGCGGCAAGAGTGTGGCGATTGCATGATGAGAGAGAGAGAGAGAGAGAATTCCTGAAAATTAAGGTTCAGGAAATCCAGATGCAATAGAAAACCAGTTCTCTCTACCCTTCAAAATGGTGCAGAAGAGGAAATTTCAGTCTACTTGTTTTTCCTCCCCTTTGCTGCTGGCAAAAGGCACCTGATGAGATTTCCTCTTTCCACTCCAGGGCATGGGAGCCTCAATGCCTCTCTCCACTGTAACAACCCACCTGATAAAGGCAAGGATATTCCTCCCAACTATGGATGCAGGGATTTCATGCAATCCATTCCAGGTGTATTTACTGGATTGTCAAAATCCTTTTGGTCCCCATCTGCTGATTGGTAGATTAGTTCCCCCCACCACTTCAGAAAGGCACATGAGAAGTCCACTACAATTTATGGAATTTGCACTGGCATCTACCATTTTGCATATTATTTGCATCTCAATCTAAAATCAATAAGCAGGGCACACACACACAAAGCTTGCTTTAGAGCAGAGCCTGAAGAGATGACAATGTTTGCACACTTAAAAAAAATTATCCCATGTGTCAGTGCATTTCCCAACAATTTTCTCATTTTTGGATGACAAACTTCACAAAAGATTCCAGAAAATTTAAAACCACTCCATAAGTCGGTGGAACATCTGCAACTTGTTGAAAGCAAGTCTGCTGTGGAATCTACAGGTCAGATTCTCAGAAACTTGAAGTCCGTTTGAAGAAAGTGTCTTTCTAGTTTCAGGACTGCCCAATTCTTGTCCTCTGCTGCCATCTAATGTCAACTGAAACTCACACTTTCTCAATTCCATCAAGGCGCTTTGGACAAAAAACAGGGACGAGGGAAGAAAAAGAATAGCCTCCAATTTGAAGCAGATATACAAGCAATTAAATCTATGGTAACATGGGTTTACATGGGTAATTTGCAAACTTTCATCTGAAGCCCAAGGATCTCCAATAAAATCATTTTCTGATGCCACCCACAGGTATCCCTTTCTTCCCAGGTTTCCATGGTGGGATTACTACAGAAAGGGCCTCTTTCACAGTGCCACTGAAATTGTGGTGGTCCCACACTCTGAATCATGAGGCCTGTACTAGCTTTTGTGTGGAAGCAAATGTTAGCTTTCAAGCTTTTTGCAGATGATGTGCTTTCTCCCGTTCTTTTGCTGTTTTGTTGCTTGGCAGTGCCTTTTTAAAACACACACCCTGGAGGGAGGCTGTGTCCTGGGCCTTGAATTCTTCCACATTTTTATTAAGGACTTGGAGAAGGAGGTGGGGAAAAAGCTGATCAGATTTGCAGGTGACACAAAATTGGATGGAACACCTAATAGTTGAGGGAATAGAAACCACACTCAAGGTGATCTTGGTGAGTCAGAAACTGGACAGAATGCAATGGTACACAATTTAACATAGACAAAGACAAACTTCAAAGGAAAAAGAAAGCAAAATGCAGATGTATGATGGAAGATACTTGACATGGCAATAGTTTATTTAATTACTTAAAGCTTTTATTTTATTTTATTTTATTTTATTTTTATTATTTAATTATTTAAAGCTTTTATACACTGTCCCATTACTAGCATCCCGGGATGGTTTACAACAAGCTCAGATAAAAATAGCACAGCATCCAGCAATTCACAATAAAATCACAATTAAACCTAATTAAACATTAAAATAATGGGAGAATAATAAGGTTTTATTCACATTGAAGTTGTGGACACCACAGTCTAAGAAGAGTTCTGAGAAGGCAAACAAATATGATCTAGAAACTCACACCTAAGTTTGTGAGGAAAGACCAAAGGAACTGGATCCATATAGCCTCAAGAAGAGAAGACTGAATTGGGACACTGTAGCACATCAAAGGCTGCCCCATAAAGAGGGCTGCAAGCACTTCTCTCTCAGCAAGTCCTGTGGAATAGCAGCTGTAGTCACAGGAAGGCGTATTTCAGATAACCACCAGAGGAAACATTACACTGTCACAGCAGTCAGACAATCACCCCAGCTACCTAGGGATGCGATGGATTCTCCATCACTGGAGATATTCTAGCAAAGCCTAGAGCAGTGATGGCAAACTTTTTAGAGACCGCGTGTCCAAAGTGCAATCCAAAACCCACTTATTTATCACAACGCTACAATAAAACCTGAAAACTGAGGTTTTTGTTTAGAAAAAACAACTCACAGTCAGTCCATCCATGGCAGCGCACTGACTGGTCATGCAAAAGTGCAGACGAGTCACAGCTAAGGAATCGCGGCTCATGACATCATCTCCTGGTGCCACTACTCCTTTCCAAGCATGCGCATGGTCCCTATGTACACTGTTATCCGATGCTCACCTGTTGGGGCAATGGAGGGGTGAATTGCCCACATGCCGACAGAGAGGGCTCTGCATGCCCGCTGTGGAATGCGTGCCTTGGGTTGGCCACCACTGGCCTAACCTTACCCTGGTGCACTCCTCTAACACTAATAGGGGAGTAATATACCATTGAATAGGGCGATTTTGAAAAAGCCTTCCTTGAGTAGCTTTTTCTGCACTTCTCAACATTTCTGCCCATTCTAAAGACATTCCAACCATCAATATCATGCCAGGACACCTTGTTTTTCTAACTCTAACCCTACCCTGGTGCACACCCCTAACCCAAATATAGGGCTAAAGTTCCATTGAAAAGAGGGCAATTTTGAAAAAGCCTTCTTTTAGTAGCTTTTTCTGCACAGCTCATCATTTCTGCCCATTCTAAACACATTCCAACCATCAAAATCATGCCAGGACGCCTCGTTTTTCTAACCCTAACCCTACCCTGGTGCACACCCCTAACCCTAATACAGGTCTATAGTTCCATTGAAAAGAGGGTGATTTTGAAAAAGCCTTCCTTGTGTAGCTTTTTCTGCACAGTTCAACATTTCTGCCTATTCTAAACACATTCCAACCATCAATATTATACAAGGGCACCTTGTTTTTTAACCCCAACCCAGTGATGGTGAACCTTTTAGAGACCAAGTGCCCAAACTGCAACCCAAAACCCACTTATTTATCGCAAAGTGCCAACACTGCAATAAAACCTGAAAACAGCCGGTCCAAGCAAATATCTCTCTCTCTCTCTCTCTCTCTCTCTCTCTCTCTCTCTCTCTCTCCTTGGCAGTGCACTGACTGGCCATGCCAAAGCTCAGACAAGTCGCGGCTAATGTGTCACTCCTTGTGACATCATCACCTGGCACCGCTACTCTTTTCTGAGCATGCCCATTGTCCCTATGCACGTTCTTATCTGATGCTTGTCTGCTGGGGCGATTAGGCTCGCGTTCCAACAGAGAGGGCTCTGTGTGCCCATTGTGGCATGCGTGCCATAGGTTCACCACCACTGGCCTGGTGGGATACTTCAAACTGGACTCCTGATTTAAGCAGGAGTTGGGCCCTAGGGCTGCCCCAGCATTCCTGGTTCTGTCTGACAAAGCTCAGGTAGGTTAGGGTTTGGTCAAGCCATGTGTTCTTGAAAGCTAAGAAAGCACAATTTCGGCAAAGCACAAGCTGTGCCCATTGGCTCTAACACTCTAATTCCATGCTATGCTTCCAGACTCATCTGTGTTCCACAATGGGGATCTCCCTCACAGGAAGTGTAGCAGCACTGCTGCTCCTCGTGGGGTCCTGCATGATTGTCTCTTCCCAGAATCCTCGGCATGAGAAGTTCCTGAGGCAGCACAACGACTTCCCGCGAACCAAAGTGTTGGGGCAGGATTACTGTGAGGCCATGATGGCACGCAGGGGAATGTCCAGACCATGCAAAGGCACCAACAGTTTCGTCCACGCACCGAGGAACCAGCTGAAGGACATCTGCACCTGGGCCGGCAGTCACTACCGCCGGGCCCTACGGCTCAGCCGGGCACAATTATCCGTCACGACCTGCAAGCTGCAGGGGGCTCTGCGGGGCCAGTGCCACTATTGGGCCCACACAGGGCAAAGGCACATCCTTATTGGCTGTGACCCATCCGGATGGCCCATTCATTTTGAAGAGAGCAACTTCATGTAGCACAGCCTTACACTTTCTGCTTGCAATTGCAGCAAAGAAATAATTGTAGGTCCATGGCACCAGGTGGTATGGTGGAGTGGCAGACTTTATGTTGGCTCTCACAGTTTGAAACCATATTCAAATTTCTCACATCGTGCAGGCCTCTGGACTCCATGGATGCAGAAGAGGTACACTGCATGGGTGGAAAAGATTTTGTTCCCCTCTGTGCATTTGGACCACATTAAGAAGAGCTAGCAAGACCTGGGCAGAGCTGTTGTTGATAGGACACTCTGGAGGGCTTTCAGTCCAAGGGTTGTCATAAATTGAAGATGACGTGGCACATAACAACTACAATAGGGGGAGTATCCCTGGCCCTTTGAATTTACTCCTACTTCTCCTAGCCATTTATGTATGAAAAAAGTCACACTATTCCATATGAAGTGGGATTTTTCCCCATGGCAAATTAAAATGGTTTATTACTCTATCAGCCACCCATATACACAGGCTCACCATTGGCTAAATATTATAGGCTTAGCATTAACTACATTATTGCAATGATCCAAAATACCTGTATATATGTGTGTGCACGTGAAAAGAACCATTTTAGAATGGATTGCTAACCTTTCAGACTATGGGGAAAATGAGAGTAATGCTTGTGCATTGTTTTAATTTGGCAACTTTTGAAATTTTCAATCTCAAATCAAATTTTGCATATTTGATGAACATTTAAACAAATAGCTGTTTAAGATTTATGATGGCACCCAAGTAAGTTTCAACTTCATGGAAAAGACAGGTGGAGAATTTACCACATTGTTTGTTTACATCATTTAAAAGAAGGTGGAAAGAATTGGTGACTCTTCCTTCTGGAATGGAACATTAACCCAATCATATCAAATCACTGAAAATTGCTTCATTTGCGTTTGCAGTGGGATGCACCATTTAGTAATGTTCAACTGCTCAGGTAGATTGCTTTTGTATTTTACAAGTCATTAATGTTTTGTATAGCTTGCGATACAATCTTACAGTCTTGACAAATAAATTACACTCATTCATTCATTCATTCATCAGCTTGCTATGTTAATAGTGTAGTCAGAATAGACAAGATCAGCAGCAGCAGCCACATTCAGCTCCCCTGGCCTTTTGGAGCGGGGGTGCAGGCAGGAGGCCTTAACACCAAAAAAAGTGAAAAATTTCCACCAAAATTTAGTGGAGCAACAGCAAATAGGGGCTGGTTTTAAAGAAAGATCAACACTTCTTTGCTGCCATGCCACCAAATTTTTGCAACAAATTCAACTCCATGGGAGGGAAATGGAAGCTGGAGGTGAACCACTGACCTAGCACTCTTGATGTCTAGAGAAGATGGACTTTTGATGTGACACTCCGTGTAAGACTTCTGCCTTCATTTTTAGTGTTATAACTTATAATCTCCCATACTTAGGTTAATCCTTACTAGATCTGCCCTTCTTTCTCTCCCTCTGGTTGTCTCACCCCAGCCTTAACTGCTTTGCCCCATCAAGCTCAGTGGAAGCTATTGCAGGGGACTGAGATGCTATCAGTCGGTGGTTCCTCTGACCAGGTCTTCAGCCTGTTCTTATTTGGAGTTCTTGATCCGTCTTTGTCACTTGAGGCTCACCAGCATGAGTTTCCCTCTGCTAGCTCCCAGCCAGTCCGTTGTTGCAGCCTCCCCTTCTGCTAATGAAAAGCAGAAACAGAGCTGTGGGGAAAGCCATGCCAAAACCATGCTTTTGCATTTGAAGGGCTATTCTGTGCTCTGGGAAGAATGCTCTCATCTCTTCTAAGGAGGGGATGTTGCTCTGCTAAGCGAGCTCCAGAACATGAACAGAATACAAACCCAGTAGTTGAAAGCAACATTTCTCCCTGTGGTCTGGGCTCCGAAATACAAATTCAGGCAATCTGGAAACCTCCAGATGTTTTGGCTCACGCGTCCTATCAGTCCTAGCTACCATAGCTGAGTCATCTATTCCTGGTCTGAGTGCAGGGAATATGAAGGGTGATATTATGTACTCATGATCTTCATGAGTACATAATATCACATAATATCAGCCCATACGTAAGCAAATATATTTACTTGCAGCTCAATCCCATCAGATTCCATGGTGTTTACCACACAGGCAATTGGGCACATGCTACAATCCTGCGTATGCTTACTTCTAAGTAAATATACATGGTTAAAAGTAAGCCACCTGACTTTCTTAGAAAGACAGAGGGGAAACAGCAGAGACCAAAATTAATGTCTAAAGAAGCCATTCATAGTACAATCACATACATCTAAAAAATCTCACTGAAATCCTTGCATACTACTCCAGACGAGTTCACATTACAATTGCTGTTCGTTCAATTGAATATTTGCACTGTGTGTTTTAGAGAACTCACTGGGTGGTCTGAAAGTACAATAAAGGGACAATCCTATGCACGTTTACACAGAAAAATTCCTACGACTCCCAGCACAGAAATTACAGGACATTTTCTGTCTAAAGTTAGGCCGAGTCTAAAGTTTTAGACTCTAAACCTATATAAACTTGTACCTTCAATAAGTAAAACTTAGTTGACTATAGGATTTTTCAGTTGTTTCAAAGGCGCAGCTCTTTGCACTAAACGAAGGGAAAACGCAACGGTAGCAAATACATCTTAACACCTTGCAGAAAAAATTAAATATTCTTAAAGAGTAACTTACCCAAAACAACAACAAAACAACAAAAAGAACCTACCCAGCACCAATCAGACGCTCGGTGGGCGTGGCCTTCCCGGCGTCTCTTACGATCCCGCCAGTGAGTGGAGTTGCAGATGTACGCATGCGCTCTTCGCTCCCTTCCCAAGGTGGCGGCCGAGTGCGGCACTTTCGGAAATCGTTGCAGGGACTTCCGCGCAGGCGCGCTGAACGAAAAGTTCCTTCTAAAGATGGCTGCGACGGGGACTTTGCGGAGCGTGCGGAGGACTTTCTGCGCCGCTCATTCCTCTTGGACTTCCAGGGTGAGCGATCTGCCCATGCCCTTCTCTTATCTACTTATCCATGAGCGTCGTTGGAGCATGCATAGAGTTTTTAAATTGGGGTTGCTGATTTAATCCGAATTCCTTAAAGAGGACTAGGTACTTCACTTCTGGTGCAGGAGACCCGAACACTCCTCGCCCAAAATGCCCGAAATATATTTTTGGTGGTGGATGCGAAGTGTTTTTAGGTGCAGTCCTAGGCACCGAAAAAAGGCTTACAGCACTCAGCCAGACTTCCACAGGACTGCGCCTTTAAACGGCTTTCTGGTTGCCGATTGTTCATAAATGTTTTTCAAGATGTGTGCGTTTCTTTCTATGCTGTATGTGTATATACTGCATGCATGTTTTTTATATTGAATATCTACGCTTTTGATCTGTGTCTCCTGTTGAGAGAGTTTTGCCTCCCAGACTGTATATAACCTTAAAGAATGAATGAATGAATAAATTCAAGCATCTGAGCGTTATGTATTTATTAGATTTATATCCTACCTTTTTTATTTGTAAGGACCTCAGCTTACATCATTCTTCTGCTGCTCTCAATCTTGTTCTCCCAACAACAGCCCTGTGAGGTAGGCTGGGCTGAGCATCTGTGACTGGCCCAAAGTCACCCGTTTGGCTCCATGGCTGAGCAGGAACTAAAACCCAGATGGCCTGAGTCCCTTTTCCATGCTCTTAACCACTGCACCACACTGGCTCTTTCAGCTGAGTCCAGTCTCTTGCTCAAAGCAGAGCCTTATTACCAGAGATCCTGTAATTGTAGGCAACAGATTGAACCCTCTGGTGGCCTTGGATGTGCAGTGGGGTGTGATGGGCAAACATTGGGCCAGACCATCCTTCTCAAATCTGGGATTCTCCATATGTTCCATCATCCCCACCGGGCATGAACATCCAGTCAGCTGTGCAGTTTTCACCAAGAAATGGAGAGCAGCCAGTGGCTGGTATCCCAATCTGCCTTGCTGGCTGGTTGTGAGGGTAAAGCTAGGTGAGAGTTCAGTGGGAGTAGGAAGCAATGCTAGCTGGGTCATGCTGGGAGCTGTGCACCTTTTTTTCTGTCTAAGCTTGAATAGGATTGTGTCCTTCGTTTTTAAGCTTTTCTGGCAAAGAGTGGCAGTCAAACTGAAATTTAGGAAAAAAATTGTAATTACATTGTGACACACAAACCCAATTAAAAATTCAATAGTCTAGTTAAAAAAGCAGCAGTGACCCATTAAACTGCTACTTTAAGTAGCAGATTAGCATATATGCAAAGGTCTCCTTGAATAAACCCATTCATGTGTTGGTGGAATGACATTGATGTGGTTTGAGTGTTGGACTGGAGACTTGGGAAATCCAGCTGAAGTTCGCTGGGTCATTTTGGGCCAGTTTTGCACTCTCAGCCCAATCAGCCTTAATGAGTTGTCCTTGAAAGGATAAGATTGAAAGAATTGTGGAAACCACCTTGAGATGCTTGAAATGAAAAAAAGGGGGGGGACATAAAAATAAATAAGCATTAGGGAGGGGGCCAATTTATCTTTTCCCTTGCTGGAAGTTAGAGCCTGAGAGCAGCTCCCAAGAAGGTAGGTCTGCTGGCAACAGAGAGAAGTGCCTCCCCTGAAGACATTAAAACTCAGGCAAGCCCATAAAAGAAGGGAATCTTTCATCCTGCAGCCCGGCTGTGTTTGTTCTCTTAGAGTTTTTCTCAGTCCTGATTTATTCCACTTAGTGTTTGCTTTCCACTTTGCCGTGAATATATTATGGGTCTCCTGACTTATTTTTTTCTTCTGCCTCCCCTCAGGGTTTGGCTACTGTCATTCCCAAGGTCTCCCAAGTAGATAATTCTTCCGATTTCCTGGGCAAAGTTCCACACCGCAAGCATCCAGGCATCTGCAACCTCAAAACTGTCAAGCTTCCACCTGAATTGGTAAAAGCGGCTTGCTCTCTGGTAGCTGGTGAGTAGACACCATAAAAGATGGAGGCTTGGAGCGTGTGGGGTGTTGGTGAGGACCGAAGGCTCTGGTGCTGTTTCCTCATTCAGAAATTGTGTTTAGTACAAGGCTGTATTGTGTTAGTCTGGTTCACACTTCCATTTTGAAAACAAAATATCTTTGTAAGCAACTATTTCCTGCAATATGGTTCTCCTAATAACTTATTTAATTTCTTTGCCACTCAGTAGCCAAAGCTTTCTGGGTACATCCTGGCAATGGATAAAATTGCCAAGTACAAATGCAGATAAAATCCCACATCCTGTTGTAATGTAAACCAATAACAATTTAAGCAGCTAAAACAGTTCTAATAAAGATACTGGACATGTTAAAAAGGCCACTGATATAATGGCCCGTTATATGGCCTTAATAACCACATGTAGTTGAAATTAAATATTAAATGCAGAAGGTGATCCTCAGTGATGTGGGGTGGGAGATTCTCCAAAATGGAACATTTTCAGATGCTGTATTTTACGTGAAAAATGTCCAAACCATATGTCTGCATTTACCCATAGATGTCTAGGCTGTTGTATTGCAATCAATTATGTTAGAGGGATAAGGTGTAGGATGCAAATACGTAACTGGCAAACCCTAGTGCTTAGTTGCCTGTGGGGAAACTGAAAATTAAGGCATGACATGTCCACAGCAGAGTTAGCTTCTGGCTGGGTATAGACCAGACCTATGCTTGGTGCTTTTGCCCACTGTTAACTGTCCTCAGTAGCAGAGGGAAGGAAAGCAAACTAAGATGGTGATTACTGTTCGTTGCCCCAAAGGGCATCAGAAAAGCCTTGCTGGCTCAGTCCATCAGCCCAGGTCCACCTGTTCCAGCTATCTGTTTGCACAGTGGCCCATGGGATCCTGTTAGCAACAGCACCCATCCTCCCCAGACCAAGTGCACAGACCCTGCACTGAATCAGACATTCCAGCTAGATGTTCTGAATTAGATTCCCCTTGACCTGAAATACAGCCAGGAAGTGGTGCAGAGCGTATGCCAAGCTGAAGGTGCTACAGTTGCCCCAGTGAAAGAAAATTAAGCTGTTGAAGTAAGGTCAAATATTTTGTAGCAATTGGGAAACTGTTGATATATTTATATTGCACATAAAATTGACATAGATTGCATATTAGGTCCTGTTTACTCAACACAAGGCTTCATGTGCTAATTGTGGGAGGATGTCCCTTCGGGGTAACAATCAGTCGAATATAGCAAACCAAGTAATATTTAGAGCACTGGAAATATTATTCTACTTCTACTTTTTTGGGGAAGCTGGCATCAATTTTGTTGTCCAGTCTAGATGTGCATAGAGATCTAGGCAGTACTAACACTAATCAGAACCTAACAGTTAACTCTGATGCTAATACGGTAGCAAAATTTTTCCCCATGCCCAAGCATGGCACTCAGGTCAACTTTGACTGTTTGCCCCATGTGCCCAGCCTAGGTTAGTTCCAGACCCATACAAGTGCTCAGGGGGGCTGGTTTTATTAATCCTAACACTAATATGAAGCTTATCCTGAGCATAAACTCATGGTTAAAATCCATCCACGCCCAGACAGCAGGCTCTTTGGGTTTGCTCAGGGGTTCCAATGCTATTTCCAGACCTCTAGCCATGGTCATAGTGCCAGGACTTACTAAGCCTAACCTAAAGCTTAACCCTACACCTTTGTAACGCCTGCCCCACTACGGCAGCATGGTCAAAAGCAGTGCTCAGAGATCTTGGTTGCCTGTTTCTCCTATCTGCCCAATCCAGGTGTGTTCAAAGCCTCTAGATGTGCTCAAGGTGCAGGTTTTACTAATCCTGACCCAGAGGAAACATCTCTTCCCAACCAGACTGAGCTCAGGGCATCATGGTTGTCCTCTCTCCAGTCTGCCCCATCAGGCTGGAGAAATGCTGTTAGCACCTGATCTCCTTTCTTTCCACCCCACATGCTGTATGCACATTGGAGAGCTTGTTTTGCCCATCACAGCTCCCATTTCCTCTCCCAGAATCCTCTGTGCGCAATCTGGAGAACAAATCGAAGGCTTTCATCAACTACTTGTGGAGCCGCAAGCGCCCCCTGGAGGCAGCAGACTTGTGCAGGAAGGCACAAGAATTGGAGCAGAAGCTCAGGGGGACCAGGATGGCAGCCCCTCAGGAAGGTGAGCCTGGTTTGGGGGGATATTGTGGAGGAGAGGATGTCCCCCATGAGCAGCACATGGTTTTGGATGTTTTGGGTGTGTTACAACGTGTGCGTCGGTTTGATGGCCTCCCTTGTGTGAAAACTATCCTCTATTAATTAGAAAGTGGTTGGGGGTTAACCAGATTGAAGTGATTTTAAGTGCTGCTGTTCAGTAAATATATTTTAAATAAAATACTTAAATGTAGCTGGAAAATTTAAGAAGAGGCACTTCTCCTTCTCACTGTGTGTCTCTCTTTTGCTTTCTTGGGAAGGAATTTTTATTCTCTGATGTTGATGCCTCTTACAACTAGGGATGAGCCCAGGGTGGATTTTCATAAGCTTGGATTTTTAAAAATTTAGAATCGTACAGTTGGAAGAGGCCTAGAAGGCCATCGGGTACAACGGCCTGCTCCGTCATCTGTCCAAGTTTCAACCTGGCCTGACCCTGCTCAGCTTGCAAGATTAGGCAGAATCAGGCTCTTCAGGCAGTGAAGTGGCTTTTTCCAAGTCTCCTGTGCTCACAGGCTGATATTTTTTGCCTTCTTTCTTTCATTTAAACTGCTGGGGATTTGCACAGTAAAAAATGCATTGCTGAGTGTATGCTTTCTAACAAACAAAATTAGCATGCAAGAAATTGGATTTACTCCATCACCGAGCTCATGATGGAGCAAGAGATGTCTGATGGTCCACGAAACAGGTAGAATGGGTTTAACCAAGCCCATAGCTCTTTTGGGGCAGCCACATGTTTGAATCACAAACATGTTTGTTGTGTCTCATGAAAAGTGATTTTTCATGTGGTGTTTATCACGACTTGTGCTGCACCCTTACCCAATAAAGCTGGATAATATCCTTTTTGAGAATTTGCAGGTAATATGCAGGTTGAGTGTATATATTTGTATAAGATCCCTTGGCATTCTTACTTTACTTTATTTTAAGAGAGCATTAAAAAAAAAGCAGGATTGTGTCCAAGGAAGAGCCAATGTGGCATAGCAGTTAATGTTGGGCTTGGCCTAAGGAGGCCAGAGTTTCAATCCCATCTCAGCTATGAAACCTTCACTGGGTGGATTTAGCCCAATCCGTATCTTAACATAGATCCTGGGATGGCTGTGAGGGCAAAATGGACATAGTGAATGGTGTATCCACCATGCAGCCTAAGAAGATGGATGGAATACAAATATACTAAATAAAATGGTCTGTTTTTTCCTTTCTCTGACAGGTGAACTGACCAGCCTGGATGAAGAAGATGAGACAAAGCTTCAGAGAATGGTCTTGAAAGCCCTCCGTAGAACATCTTACCACTGGGAGGCACTAGAGTGAGTGTTTCCGCAACTCTTTTCAAACAAGTCCTCCCTTTTATTGACTGATCTTATTATATTTATAGCCTGCCGTTTCCTTCCTGCAAGGAGCCCAGGTTGGCTTCTGTGGTCCCCATCTCCATTTTTCATCTTCACAATAAAGGCTTATGACCTGGTTACCTGAAGGAGTATCTCCTTCCATATGTGCCTGCCCGCCCCTTAAGATCTGGGGCAGAGGTCCTCCGGAAGCCCTCCTTGAAGGAGATTAGGAAAGTGGCTACCCAGAGAAGGGCCTTCTCTGCGGTGGCACCCCAGTTAGGAATATGCTTCCCAGAAAGGTTTGCCTGGCACTGTCACTTTATTCTTTTTGGTGCCGGGCTAAAACCTTTTTATTTTCCCAATATTTTAAGGTTTGATTGTCATGGGTTTTATCACTAGAAATTAATTAGAATGCTGCATTTTAATTTGTTTTATTGTGCTTTACTGTCAAACCATCACGAGACCTCAGTAGTAGATGGTATAAAAATGTTTTAAATAAACAAATTTAAATAATTTTGTGAAGTAGGTTAGGCTGAGGTCAGTGTCTGGCCTAAAGTCCCCCAGTGAGCTTTATGGCCGGAAATCCTGAATATCCCGGGTCTCAGTCCAGTAACCTCACCATTATGCCATACTGGCTCTTAGCCTGTAGCTAAATTAAACCAGGTAACATCCCCACTGCTCCCTCTGAAAAAGTTATAGCAAAATATTGGCATTCCTTAACCTAGTAGTTACATGTATTTAATGATATGTATAACTCTGCCTTTCTTTTGCTTTCAAGAAATCCAAAGTGACTTCCATAATGCCCCTTTTTCCTATTTTATCCTCATTCAAACACTTAGAGGTGGGTTAGGCTGAGAGTTGATGGCTGGCTCAAAATAACCTGGAAAGCTTCAAGAATGAACAGGGACTAGAACCCTAATCTCCTGATTCCTAGCCTAGTCACTCACCACTGCACCACACTGGCTCTGATTTTCCATGATGCATCTCTGGAGTTGCATGGAGAAGAACAGTAGTGGCTTTTGTCAGATTGATGAATATATAGTAGAACTGTGTGATTCTGCCTGTGCATTCTTACAGAGATGTAACGTATCCACAGGAGAAATGCAAATTCTCTTCGCACACGTGCATGCGCAAACATGAGCTCACCCCCTTTGTCCTTTGAGATTTTGGATGTCTTAGCCTACACTTGTTCACACTTTCCTAAGCAGCAATAAGGACTTGATGCTTGATTCCTCTATTTTGAATTGAAAGCTGAGATTCCTAAGTTGAATCAAAGTTTGCCAATGTGAAGCAGATCACTTTCTAGCATAACAGAGGCAGGGAGGGCATTCGTAAAATGACTTACCCTTGCCACCAATGGAAATCACTCCACTGACCCCTTGTAAATGACACCTTCCAGTCTTACTGGCTGAGACTGAGGTCACCTATGCACTACTGACTGATGCCTTGCTTTGTCCTTCCAAGATACACCAACGAGCTCAGCTTCGTATACATGGTAGCCCGAATGGATGGAGTGTTTGCTGCAGTTTGCCGAGCTTTCCATGAGGTGAGTAGCCGCTTCAGTTTTTATGGCAGTGGGGAAATGCTTTGAGCAGGCAGGCCATAATTTTAAGCAAGCACAGTTCACTTGGCAACAGGCTGGAAAGGCTCCAGTGCCGTGTTTAGGTATGGAGGCCCTGGACTCGCATACGGTTTCTGCCAAGGACTTGCACGGGTGATCTTTTGGCAAGCCGAAATATCAGTCTTGGCTTCCCCTCGCTCTTTTTAGAGTAGGTATTATTTAGCATGTATTGATTGCCCACCAGATTTTCAAATCATTTAGCCCCAGGCATCCTTAAGAGTCTTAAAATTTAGGTCAAAGGACAAAAAGGACCCCTGCAGATCTGGAAGCTGCCCATCCCTCTTCGTAAACCTTCACTGGCAACACTTTGGAGAATGGCCATTTATTTATTTATTTATATCCTGCCTTTTTCTACAAAGGGCTCAAGGCAGCTTACATCTCCTCCTCCATCTTATCCCCACAACAACAACGCTGTGAGGTAGGCTGGGCTGAGAGTCTGCGACTGGCCCAACGTCACCCAGTTGGCTCCATGGTCGGGCGGAGACTAGAACCCAGATCGTCTGAGTCCCAGTCCCACGCTCTTAACCACTACACCACACTGGCTCTCAGTGTGGAACAACTTGCTTTGATTATGAAGAGCATTCCCTTGTGAGGCTCAGTTGGTGTTCTAAAAATATTCTAGCTGCAGAATGGTAGAAGTTGTGGGATGTCTAAATAGACACAGGAATTATTTTCATTCAATGGATTTATATACAGCTGCACATACTGACAAATATCTCAGAGAATGACATCCAGAGTAGTTCCAATCATTTTTCTACTATGCACTTTTGAACTGGGAAAAGCATCTTGGCCCAATCTACTTTTCAGGGTTGTTGTGAGGATGAAATGGAGCTATGTAGCACGTTGGGTTCCTCACAACAGGGGGAAAAATGTAGGATATAAATGCAAAACAACCGCAATCGATAGTGGCCTTCAGCTAACAGTCATCCTTTTCTATTTTGCCCTCTTCAGATCCAGAAGAGAGTCCCAGAATTCCAGCCAAGCACCCTGTTAGATTTTGGCTCAGGGACCGGAGCTGTCAGCTGGTGAGAAACCCCATAAGGGAACGCTGCCTTTCCTCTGCAGCAATGGGGGAGGGGGCACTTTCCTAAGGGGGAGGGTGGGAACTGTCATCTGGGGATGATAGAAGGGTGCTTCCATCCTAGCAGCTTCGCCATGGTTTGTCCTCTTGTGCCCACTTTAGGGCAGCACACAGCATGTGGGGAAAGACTCTCAAGGAATACATGAACATCGACAGCTCGGCGCCAATGTTGGCCTTGGCGGAGAAGCTCATGAAAGGTGAGAACGGTGCGTGGGGTGCTCTGCAGCGAGACGGAGGTGTGTGCTTGGCTGCCCTTATCTCAGTAGCCCTGGTGGAACTGGCTTTCCAGGCCTGGTTCCTGTACAGAAGAGGTCCCCCTTGGGTCGTCCCCTGATTCCCACTGGTCCCGGCCTCTTACGGACTGCACAGCAGAAGGATGGCCAAAGAATTTGCATGAGGCACCCCCATTTCTAACAGTGTTTAAGCTTCCCAGTGAAGCATCCGAACTGGGTTTGGGCTTGCCGCATTAAGACTGCAGGTGGGTACACAAAAAAATCAAATGTGCTTTCATACATGCCTACATAGAATCATCAGTCTCTGCACCAGCAAATTGATTTATCGTGTTTTTATTTTGGCCCTCTTCCTGGAACACCTGGATTTTGAAATGGGCATAGTCCAGAGGCAGGTTTTCTGCAACACTCGGTGAATACAAACCAGAGTACAGTTAAAAATGTACACAGTTTAAAGCCCAAACCTGATGTTTTGCATTTTGTGCCAACCACACACAGTTCTGTAGTTCCTATGCAGGGAAGAAGTGAAGGTATGCATATAGACATATATAAGCTTAAAAACTGTGTATAGCTCAATTTCTGTTTATTTATTTACTTAAAGTTTTTCTATCCCGGCCTTTACAATGTCTCAGTTGAACTTCTTGTTTGATACACACCTGCTAGTTATGGAAAGAATGCAAAATGTATCTTAGGGCATGGATGCCCTATTCTTAGTGATGGAAATTTTACTGTGCATTGCCCATACACGTTTCCAAATATGCCTTCCAAGTCTTGAGGACTAGAAACTTGGGCTTTAAAAATAAAAGTAAAATTATCTGAGCATATTACACTCAACGCCAGACAGCAAGTCCTTCACTTCTGCAACTATAATCTTTATTAAAGTTTTTCTTAAACCTTTCACTCCTTCCTTCCCCACCTACATAATAGCTGTTTTGAGCTGTAGTTTGTGCCCATCTCATTCAGGATCGGTCAGGATTCTTGAACCCCACAAGCTCCTTCTTATATCGCCACACTTATACCTATTGCCCATCTTCTTCTTAGGGTTATCTGAGGATCAGAATTTACACTTTCCTGGTGTCTATTTCCGGCAGTTCCTCCCTGTTTCACCAAAGGTAAAAACAACTCTCATGCAACTCATCCAAATAGCAGCTGCGTTCAAAGCAGGCTGGTCCCAAGGGGGCCTGTTAAATATCTTTCCAACATCTGCACTTCTCTTTCAGCTGGGGACTGGTAACATGGCCTGTTTCCCTGTGTGTTTTCTCAAGTGCCACAATCATTTCCCGGTTTTACCGGGTTGCGTTCCTCTTCTTACCAGATCTCCTGTGACTGAAGCTGGTCCCCATGTGGGGTGCTTGTTTGTTTCTTTGTTTTTGAATCATTCAAGTCAGTCTGACATTCCTGAAAAGCAACTTCTGGACATGCCCACTTTTGATCAGGCAGAGTAGAAGATGAGGGTAACTGGCACTTGATCATGAACAGAGGTTCTCTGTAGTAAGTGTGATTCCTGCTATCCTTTCCTGCAAGGGACTAAGGAGCCTGCATGGGCGTTTTTTGCCAGGCCACTCATGGTCACACAGTAAGTTTCATGATGGGATGAACTTGAACCCAGCTTTCCAGTCTGCACCCCACTGTCTGTCCATTACCCATCAGATCGATGTAAATTTAGTAACTGCAGTATGCCCCCGTGAAGTCGCGATTCAGCATTCGCGGCTTCAGTCTTTCATGAGATTTTTCTCCAAGTGAGTCCAAGTCGATCTCCTTGCAGGAGATCGTTTCCTCTGAGCTTGGACTCACTCGGAGCAAGCGATCTCTGTGCGCATGCGCCCCACCTCGCCACGTGCGCATCCTGCCCCCCAGCCTGGCCCGGGCCGCACCTCCCGCCTGCACCTCCTTGACGGCCGGTGCCCATCGCCGGCACCAGATTTGCGGTTTTTCACAATTCGCAGGTGCTCTAGGAACGTAACGCCTGCGAATTTCAGGGGACTACTGTATATATAAGTCACATTAAGAAGAATTTCTAAGATGTACAAAACTATAGCACTTTCAGATCCAGGATATGGGCACCAGGTTCCATGGGTGGAGCAGAAGGACCCGGTGGATGGAGATCTTGTGGATACACCCAGGCCAGAAACAGAGTCAGGAACAAGCAAGGGTCAGAAGCCATGACAGAGCCAGGAATAAGCAGCCGTCAATATCCTGCAAGGCATGGCAGGTCCAGAGGCAAAGCAGGGTCAGAAGGCAGCAAGGATCAGGTAGCTGGCAAGGTGGGGTTGCACCAGAGTCAGGTGTAGACAGCAGTCTAGGCAAGACTTGGAGGTAGGAACACAAGCAGCCACCACGGAGCCATGTTGCCTCTTGGGCCTCCTGGCTACGCTGCATGGAGTTGCAGGCTCCCTTCCTTGTGAGTACCTATGGGCCCACCCCGGTCCTGCAGGCACTTGCAGGGTGAACCATGTTATTCATCACCAGGGCAGCCATGACGGGTCTTTTTTGACAAATACAAGATCGGAATCCCTTCTCTCCTTTTCAGGGAGAAAGGATTCGGGACCAGGCTGGGGGAAGTTGGTGGGTGTAACGAAATCGGTGAATCTTTAAAAGTACCCCGTTTCTAGTGGGAAGTGTCTGGCTATGTGTTCAGGCTCTTCCCCTTCCTCTGCAGGTGAAATTTGATCTTGTGGTGTCTGCGTTCTCGCTCAATGAACTCACGAGTTACTCTCACAGAGTAGAGACAGTGCAGGCGCTTTGGCGAAAGACAGACGGCTTTCTGGTAAGTGACGGGCACGTTCTGGCTCAGTTCAGCCAGGTGAAAACACGCTTCTCCCTACAGCATCGGTTTGTTCCTGGGCTGTGAAAAGAGGGCCTGCCTGCTCATAATTAATTGGTTCACCCCCTTTCTAATGACCTTGATCGTGCTGCCAGTGGGCAACTTTGGCTTTTTCCCTCCCCACTCCAGTACCAGAGGAGGAGCCTGAAAGCATGAGCCTCACTCTGATTCGCAGCATAATGACACCACGTCCGCTTTTAAGTCTACCATGCAGTGCTATTCCAAGCCAATTCTGAGCGAGGGCAACATTTCCTGCTCTGGCTCCCTGTTGTCATTTCTTGCAAGGGAAGGAAGCAATGCTGAGCCATGGCAGGAAGCACTGGCAGGACGACAAGTAGGCAGGCACAAGAGTAGGTCACAGGGCCACATGTAGGGGCTTTTGTGAAACACTCCTCCCCTTGCTGAGCTGCTTTTCTCAGCCCGGAAGGCTTGGCACAGAACAGTGTGGCCCTCTAGAAGTGGACAGACTGCAACTCCCGTCTGCCCTAACTATACTATCCAGTGGTGGAGGGTGATGGGAGCTGTAGTCCAGTGACATCTGGAGAATCACACTGTGGTCCCAATCTCTGCTGCAGAATGTCTAGCCCATCTCCCAGAGCAGGTGAATCTTTTAGAGACCGAGTGCCCAAACTGCAACCCAAAACCCACTTATTTATCGCAAAGTGCCAACATTACAATAAAACCTGAAAACTGAGGTATTAGTTTAGAAAAAACAACTGATAGCCTGTCCAAGTAAATATATACATATCCTTGGCAGCAAACTGACTGACCATGCGAAAGCTCGGACGAGTCGCGGCTAATGAGTTGCGGCTTGTGACATCATTGCCTGGTGCCGCTACTCCTTTCTGAGCATGCGCATGGTCCCTATGTTTGCTCCTATGTGATGCTCGGCTGCTGGGGTGATGCTGGCACGACTTGGCTTGTGTGCCAACATAGAGGGCTCTGCGTGCCGGCTGTGGGACACGTGCCATAGGTTCACCACCATTGCCCTAAACATAACCTGATGCACTCCCCTAACCCTAATATAGGGCTAAAGTTCCATTGAAAGGGGCAGCAATGTTGAAAAAGCCCTCCTTGACTAGCTTTTTCTGTGCAACTCAGCATTTCTTCCCATTCTAAACACATTCCAACCATCAAAATCATGCCAGGACACCTCGTTTTTGTAACCCTAAACCTAACCCGGTGCATACCCTACCCTAATATAAGAGGAAAATTCCATAGAAAAGAGAATGATTTTGAAAAAGCCTTCCTCGAGTAGCTTTTTCTGCACTGCTCATCATTTCTGTCCATTCTAAACACATTCCAACCATCAGAATCATGTCAGGACACCTCGTATTTGTAACCATAACCCTACCCTGGTGCTCATCCCTAACCCTAATATAGGGCTAAAGTTTCATTGAAAGGGGCAGCAGTGTAGAAAAAGCCTTCGTTGAGTAGCATTTTCTGCACTGCTCATCATTTCTGCCCATTCTAAACACATTTCAACCATCAAAATCATGCCAGGGCACCTTTTTCTAACCCTAACCCAGTGATGGCGAACCTTTTAGAGACCAAGTCCCCAAACTGCAACCCAAAACCCACTTTACTGAGGTTTTAGTTTAGAAAAAACACTTCACAGCCTGTCCGAGCAAATATATACATATCCTTGGCAATGCACTGACCAGCCATGCGAAAGCTCGGACGAGTTGTGGCTTGTGATGTCATCACCTGGCACCGCTACTCCTTTCCAAGCATGTGCATGGCCACTACCTGCGCTCTTATCTGACGCTTGTCTGCTGGGGCAATGCTGGGACAAGTTGGTTCACGTGCCAACAGAGAGGGCTCTGCACGCCCGCTGTGGCACGCATGCCATAGGTTTTCCACCACTGTCCCAGAGTATTAGCTCTGCTTTTTTCTCTCTGCCTCCCAAATGTGTTGACCTGTGGGATCGTTGGATTAGGATCTGGTTGCCAATGGAAAACATAAGCCGGGGGTGAGTTGCCTACCTAACAGTGGATCTTTGTGGTTCCAATATTTTGGAGCAGCTTTTGAAATCTAGTTGGCCTTAACCATGGCCCACCACTTGGTTGGAATGCCTTCACTCAGCGTTTAACTTAGCCTTACCATGTCCATCCCAAAGAACCACTTGATGGCTTTCCCTGTTTGTGCATTGTCCCCCTTTTTCTGTTTTCCCAGTATTAAACTGGGATCCCTCGGGCAGGGTTCTCTGTCTCCTTGCTGTTTGCAAGGGGCACTGATGGTACTTTAGAAATAATACTAATTTACTTCCCTCAGGCATCCTGTGCTGTGGGAGGCATTCAGGCCAGAGTGTTTTATCTCCTTCATCTGTCTTTTCCAGGTTCTGGTTGAAAATGGAACCAAGGAAGGCCATCAGATGCTCATGGAGGCCCGAGATGTTGTCCTGAAGGTAAGGCTTTTGGAGACATTTGTGCCTGCCAAAAAGAACACCGAAAGACTATAAAATGGTAGTGAAAGAAAATGGACTGTATGTCGCTAAATTCCTCTATAGCAAAATGTTTTCAGGACAGCTCATACAAAACAGGTTAAAACAACAAATGTGCAGCAGCAAGGAGACGGCCCTAATTCCACATCCCGCTAGCAGAAAGATTATTGAGGTACCTTCCCTGTGTTGCAGAGTCTTCTTCTACAGCAGTGTACCTTTCTGTCATGCCTGATGCCTCAACAGAGGAGGAGGCACCTCATGAGGAAGGGTCAAACACCAGAAGGGGGGATCAGTCATTGAAACAGGAGGACTTATACTTGGACCAAGTGACCCTTCCACAACCTGGCTTGGGAGCAACTATACAGGCAGCCGATCCTCATCCTGACCCTTTACGCCTTGGGCAAACAGCCACATCTCAGCCCGACCACAAGATCCCTGAGGGAAAAGACACTACACTTCCTGCTCCAAAAGAGCTTGGGCAGGAGGCCCCCCTTCCTCCTGACGTTGAGCCTCCTGAGCAGGATACAGGAGATGCAAGAGGCGAGATAGATTTGTCTCGCGCGTCTCTTAGACGTGGCTTGCGCCGATTGGAACAAAAGGAGGCTTTGTCCCGCCTTGGGGGGGAAGGTGGGGCAAGGAAAGCTAATACCACGTGGGTTCCCTGAGAAGACGTCACTGGGAAGATAGCAACTGACTTGTTAAGGTCATTGCTGTAGGGCTGATTCGTAGCATCATAAATCTTGTAGATAAGTAGCAATAAAGGACTTCAGTTTTATTGCCTGCATAAGTGTGGGTCATTTACAACTGTGAGCCGTCACCTCTCACAACACTTTCATATGTCCAGTCAGTCACTCCACACTGATGTTTGGGCTATCTATAAGAAAAACTTGAAATAAAAACATTTCTGAAAGAATGTAAAATAAAATAATGCTAGTGTAAAACGTCTTGGAGACAAGACATGTCTTCACCAGGCACCAGTTCCATGGAGGGATGATCTAACTCACTGTGCTTTTTTTTTTTAAAATGCTGTTGTGCAGGGGATGGATAAAGTAGTTCACGATCCCCGAGAAGCTCGTGTTTTTGCTCCGGTAAGTGTTGCAAAGTGTTCTCAGAGGTGTAGCGGGACCAAGGTGACCTCATGGAGGGAATGTAAGGCACAGATATGATGCTAATTATCATCTGCTGAACTATGTTTTATTGAAAAGTGGGTGGCCTGTCAGATGACTTGGCTTACAGCTCCCGTCACCCCTAGCTGGTGTACCCAGGGGAGCTGTGTTCCTCCATATCTGGGTCTACAGTTTGTCCATCCTGGTTTATCAGATCAAGAACATGTATCATTTCCTTTTGCGTTCACTTCCTTTCTCAGAAGTACCTTAATGTGATATGTCTGATGTTTCTATGCACCTCATCTGCAACTAATCCTGGCTTACAAACCAAGGTTAAACTGTGGCCAGTCCTGGTTTGTGGCCAGGGCAGACCAATCCTGTGATCTTTGGGGGAGCACCTCTTTCAACTGTATGATTCTGTGAATCAATAGAGAATAGGATCCCGGGGATCCTGTTCTCCCCCTTCCCCACCTGACAGTCCCATGACCTCTTTAACAGTTTCCCAGCTTGGCTGTAACCAGAGCTTACAAAACCCCGGCAGTTTTGAGTTAAAGATGCAACAAGGAAGCCGGGTGGGAGTTGGTGCCACTGCACTTGGCTTAGCTCTGCTTCTGATAAAGCCACTTTGCTGTGCTCAGTCAGGCTTCAACTCAGTCCTTGGGAACAGAAGCCTTGCAAAGATGCACCAACTGGTAGGATGTGCAGATAATGAACATTCTTTTCATATCCTTTCTCATTGTCCAAGAGCCCATAAAGGCTTGCAACCTTTTTGTCGCTACCCATCTGCCCTTTCTCTTGCAGTGTCCTCATCATTTGCCCTGCCCTCGCTTGTCACGCGACCATCCCGTGCCATGTAACTTCGTCCAGATGTACCGCCCATTGCCCTTCAGTTGGGTAAGTGACCTTCCTGGCCTTGAAAAGAGAGAATGCCCATCACGGTAGGTCGTTCAAGCCCTTTTGAGCCGGAGGGAGGGGTGCTGTAGGTCAGTGAGCCTGTGGAGTGAAGCCATTGAGGGCACAAGTGATGAAGCAAGCCGCTCTTCCCGTTTTGGTTTCTGCATCTTGCAGTGTAGCAGTTACACTGTCCTTCCTTCCAAGGTTGTGAGTGTTGTTGAGAAAAATGTATTGGAAGCACTTGGACTACTTAATTAATGGATGTAACAAATACTCAGTGCTGGATAAAGAGTTCAAGAAAGCTGCCCAGATTCCATCCCTCTTCATTTCGCAGACTTCCCCTCATGCTTGGCCCTGTCTTAGAGATCAAGCCAAGAGGAAGTTGGTGAGTGCTCGGTTGTGCAACCAGCCAACCTCCTTCTGTGTCACATGCAGCGCAGCCGAGGCTGCAAGTCATGTGCACAGCAGAGAAATGCCGCTGGTGCAGCAGTCGTGTGGAGCTCAGTTCTCTGCAAGCGCTGCATTAACGCTTTGCACACTTGCCAGGAAGTTGAACTCATGGCTCTGAAGAAGCACACTGGAGTCCAAGGTGCTGAGCCAGGGCATCTGACAGATTCCACCCAGCCTTAGTGCTAGATCCAGATTTAGTCATATCTGCAGTTATCTGCAGTGGATGTGAAGCTCCCTGATTTACACGTGGTCAGCTTGAAGTATAACAGCACCCCGTTTGAATTCTCAACATCTCCTATTATGAAGTTCAAGTAACAGGTATTGCTGGTCAGTCCTGGGCAGATGGACAAATAGTTTGACAGTGTAAAGCACTTTTTCTATGCTGGAAGTGGCTTGGATACTGCAAAGGTATTTTATTATACAGGGAAACTAGGCAGCAGGAGGAGATTTTTCTCTTTTTCTGGATCCATGTCTCTGGTCTGGACCCATTGGAAGAGTCTATGGTTATGGGGGATCCCCATGTCACCTTCATGGATCCCCAAGCTTTCCTTGCTTGCCTAATTCTTACCCTCCTCCTAGTTGTTCTGCGGGTCCAGAGCAAATGGCAGCATGGTGGAGAGGGTGAAGACTGTTAATTTGGGACAGGAGCCAATCCCCCTTCAGGCTTCTCTTGCATCATCGAGGAGATTGAATGCAAGGAACTTGTTGTGTGCTGAACTGTATCGGCAGCCCTGTTCCAGTTGCAAAGGCCAGTCCACATACTTCATGTTGGGCAAATGGCAGTGAGGAAGTGCTTCCCACCGACTAGCCATGCTGGCTCTTTGAGTCTCGGATGGAGGCGTGTTTAGATCAGAGGTAGAGTCATGGTTACGCAGCCCCACTGTGAGGTTTCTCTCTTGCAGCATAGCAAATGCATGGTCTTCCCTTCCAAGGTTGCAGTGCTTGCTGAGAGACTGCACTGAATATTTATACTTTCCCCCCACCCGTTCTGTTCCTCCAGAATCCACCGCAGAAAGAAGAGAAGTTTTTCTACCTGATCGTACGCCGAGGAACAGGGGAGTCAGAGGAGGCCTGGCCGCGAATTACTCAGTCGGTCCTGTGCCGCCCTCGCCACGTCCACCTCCACCTGTGCTGTGCTGACGGCCACCTCCAGCACTGCGTGATCACCTCTCGGAGGCACGGCAGGTACTGGCCTCCTGCTCTCCCCAGGGATGGAGGGTCTCCAAGTTCTCTGGGCAACGTGTCAGGAACGTTGGCCATAAATGCCATGTCCTTTCTCCCTTCAGGGATCTTTACCGCTGTGCCCGGACCAGCTCCTGGGGGGACCGCTTCCCTGTCTCGAACCCAGAGAGCCAGCTGCCCTTGGAAGCCGAGGCAGCCTGCGAGGGTGAGGACAGGGATGAGAACGAGAACCAGCACTGATGGAGCGCCTTCCAGTGAGCTCCACGGCCTCTCCGTGACATGTTGTGCCAGCGCTCCAGAATGAACTAACTGCGGCCCTTTCTTCAGACCTCTTGGCTGGGAAATCACTGTGTGGCCTTGAGCACCAGGTTTCGCCATTGTGCGAACCACTTTGCATGGATGCTGTTGAATGCCTTGAGCCAGCCTCTTCTCCTTCCAGAAGCACTGTGATTAATGGTGTGTTGTTTCCCCTTGGCCTGACATGGCCAAGTGTAGCAGCATCCTCTAAAGTATTGCTAACTGGACACTGTAAAGTCCCTGACCTGGGGGCAAAAGCCAGTCTCCCGGGGTTAAAGTCACAGACGTGTCCACCAGAGGACCTACTGGTGTTCAGACTACCTGGAGGGCTGCAAAAGGCTGCTTGGTATCTTTTGTGGGAGATCATTTAACTCAGATGAACTGCCCCTCCCCTGTACTTGGCAATCAGATTGGATCAAGAATGGAAAAGGAGTGTTCTCCCACTCTTCCTTTTGATGTTAATTTAAGGGTGAAGTCAAATTCCAAACTGGATTAGCGTGTACAGCCTGAAACTGGGAGGTTGGTAGAACATGTCTAGTTTTTGTCCAAGGTGAAAGGGTTTGTGTTCCCATGCAAGCTCAGTCCCAGTGCTGGAAGAGAAGTTGTATGAGGTGCAGGAGCTCAGATTCCGTTCCTAGCTTTGGAGTGAGGAAACAGACTTGTAAGATTGCACAATTCTTGGCACATGCAAATGTCTACAATTCATGGGTTTGGAGATATATATTGATACCTTGAGAGGAATCTTGTACTCTCAGTAGATCGTTCTGATGAATGATGAATTCTGCATCCAAAAAATACCCATCTGGGCAATTCAAGCACCTCTCAACCAGAATTGGTCATCTTTCCATGCTGCTTGATTCAACCAGGTTCTTGGAACTTCTGATTGCAGGTGGACCAGAAAAACATGCAATCCATTATCTAGATTGCTTTGGGAATCGCTTTTCCAGAAGCTTTGGAATGAGAGAGCCTGGGCTTTTTGTACAGGGTGCCTAGGATTGCAGCCAAACCATCATTCTCAAGACGCTGGTGCAGTTTGTATGATGCATTGGACTCACCGTGGGTTGTATAATCCTTGATGTGCCAAGGGGTGCACTAGGTACCATTCTAAATATGCAATCCCCAATCGGGTTGCTAAAAGCCGTGGATCTCTGGCAGGTTTTTTAATGCTGGAACAAACTGGTTTGGCTGAGTTTGCATGAGGCTAGAACCTTCAAATCAAGCATATTCCAAATGGCGTAGGCTGTGGCTTAATGGGGGTAAAACAATCCACCATGAGCCTAGCTTGTCCTGCAAACTCGTTTCTCTTGGGTGTACTTGCTGCATGCCCTGGAGCAGCCTCATCCAAAAATTGCAGAGCCTGAGGGAGCCATCCAAGGCCTTGAAGCTGCTTCCCACAAAGTGTGTCTGCCTGGGTTTTACCACTGCCTATGAAACTCAAATACTTTGGCCACCTAATGAGAAGGAAGGACTCACTGGAGAAGACCCTGATGCTGGGAACAATTGAGGGCAAAAGAAGAAGGGGATGGTAGAGGATGAGGTGGTTAGATGGAGTCATTGGGGCAGTGGGTCTGAGCTTGGGTGGACTCCGAGGGATGGTGAAGGACAGGAGAGCAGTGACTAGATCTCTTACAACCATGACCCTCAGAAGCTTCTGAGGGTGATGGGAGCAGAAATGGATGGATTCGGGAGGAAATGCAACAGTGTCAAAATCACTTAACAGGACAGGGTATCAAAGGATGTAACTTTAGTGGCCTGAAAAATTGTATGGATTTCTGCTGCCCTCAGGTTTTACCACTCAGAGCAGCCACAATTCGGCTTAAAAACACATTAAAATGGAGAGTCTGCCTAATGGTTCTTTGCCATTACATTCAGGAATTTAGAGTTCAGCTATAGATTTTGCCAGCCACTTGGCCCAGTGCTCTAGTGTTCTGCAGGGGCACTTCTGCTATCTGGACGCAGACCTGGCTGCTCATGTGTGGATCCTAGTCCCCCACCAGGAACTGGAATGGTTGCACAGAGCTGCCCCATTGTGCCATGTTTTGAGTTGGATCAGTCCCTGGAACCAGTGGGACTCAATAGTTTGGTCCTGGCCAATAAGCAGCAGCTGCAGGAATGTCCCCTTGTCCTTGCTGATCTTTTTTGTAGACCATCCAAAGCAACAAAGTCATGAAAGAACCTTAGGTACAAATGAGCTGACTAGAAAGTGAGATGCTCTGAAAGTGGACCATTGGCAAAACTATCGGGACTAGTATAAGCCTGGTTTACTGGTTTAGTGAGGCCTACTCCTGAGTAAAATACACATAGGATTGTGCTGCAACATGCCAAAACATTTGTGAGCATTAAGCAGAGTTTTCCAGTTCTTCACTTTTACTGAGGAGGAATTGTAGGTTTTGAAAGAATCCCCTTCACACAGCCGTAAAGCAAAACTTCACCCAAACCAAATTATGTGTTTTGTTTCTTTCAGACCCTTTCAGAACTGTATTATTTTACCATTGGTTCTATGCTTAGAGATCAATCCTCTATTTAAAGAGCTGTCAGAAGACAGTCTGTATTTGAAGATGTCCAATTCTTGGAAGGGCTGTTAATCAAGCCCAGTGTACAAATAGAAATTCCACATGGAGGTGAGGGGACTTAAAATACCCCACCAAGAGTAGGTACATAGGTCACTTAGTCCCTCTTTCACAGTACAGTCAGGTGTAATATGAGGTGTGCCCAAAAATTAATGGGAATATTTTAAAAATTCTTTTATTGACAAGTTTTACAATTGAACATTGTCTCCTTCAAAGTATGCACCTTGTGAGTGTACACAACACCCCCAGCGATTTTCTCATTCTTCATAGCAGCCCTGGAAGGCTTCAAGTTCAGAGCCTGCCCAGTGGCTCTTTGGACGTTATCCACACTACCAAAATGGTGTCCTTTCTCACCACTCTTCATCTTTGGGAAGATGAAAAAGTCACAAGGAGCCACGTCGGGGCTGTAGGGTGGATGGGGAAGCCCCGTGATGTGTTTTTCAGCTAAAATCTCTATGACTTGGTGCATTGTCTTGATGAAGGATCCAAGCTGAGCCGATCTCAACTTGTGCCATTGCTACACTTGCGCAGATGACAGCGCAGCTTCTCCATAAGCTTACCTCACTATTTCCAAAGTTTCTGATGCACCTTTACCCAACTTCATACCATTTTATCACATACCACTGTTCCAAACTCGCTTGTAGGACTGGAATGCAACTGATCCTTATTCTCACACATGCCTGACACCGCACCCCAAGTGGCCCTGACCAGTTTCTCTCTTCACAGAACCCTTCTCAAGTGTAGGGACTTCATTCTCATTACTTTCTGGACACACCAGAAGGCTGGTTGTATCTTCGATATATGTTTGTTTAATCATTGCACTTATTTCTAATTTCATAGAATAGTAAAATTGGAAGGGGCCTAAAGGACTATCAAATTGAGTGCAGGACTGCAGTTAAAGTATCTGGAGCAGAGGATGAACCTCTTGAATGCCTCTAATGTGGGAGAGCCCACCATCTCCCTAGGTCATTGGTTCCGTTGTTGCACTGCTACAACCATCAGGAAATTTTTCCTGATCCCCAGCCAGAGCCTGGCTTCCTGCAGCTTAAGCCCATTATTCCCTGTCCTGCACTGGGAAGAGTTGATGATGGAGAAGAGGCTTGACTCTCTTCTGTGCGACAGCCTTTCAAGTATTTGAAAAGTGATCTGTTAGCTCCATTCAGTCTTCGCATCTCAAGGTTAAATATGTCCAGCTTGGTTTGCAATTTTTCATGTGCGAACTGGAGTCCTATTTCATCCTTTTTTGAGCGGAGGGATGTGGTATGTTTCTTTATTAGTAATTTGTAGGTGGCCACCCTAAGTAGAGATTAGAACAGAGGAAGGCTTTGGTGTCTTCACTGGTACAGGAAAAGGGTTGTTTGTTCTTTGTGCAGAGGTAACGAGTGCATTTTGTTTGCAGTTTTCTGGGTTAGGATTGCAAAGTCCTAGTCTTTGTTTTAACAGCAGAACGATGAGGAAACTAGTAGTTGGGTCATGCCAGCGCTCAATAAAGTGCAGTGCCCGGTTTGTTGAAACGAACGCCTTTGGGAGTGTCTCCTTCCAGCCTGTCAAACCAGTCTTGAGGCTGGGATAGTAAAGGAAGCCTGGTGGGGCCTTAAAATAGGCCACTGTGGTTTCTGATGGGGTGAGAGGGCTGATTATATCTTGAATGTTGTTGCTGAAACCTTGGTTATCTCTGGCCTTGTACTGCATCATTTAATCTGCAAATCCTCAAAGGCAAAATAACCTCATTCCATAGAGTCTCTCAACAGTTAGGGTTCCTTTTTGTTTCTTTTTTTTTTCAGTTTGTGCGGTCTCTCTCTCTCTATTTCTCTCTCTGTGTGTGTGTGTGTGTGTGTGTGTGTGTGTGTGTGTGTAAAATATGCAGCCCGCTCCAGTTCTCTCTGTATGGCAGCTCCTAGCCAGTCTGGTTGAAAAAGAAGGATGATGGGAGTTTCAGTCCCCACTGGAGGGCCACAGGATCCTTATCCCTGATCTAGCTAATCCATTGTGCTTGGGATTAGTATTACGAGGCAATTTGTGCATTTCCACAAATCCTGCTGGCACCCATTTGGGCATTTTTCATGATGAAAGATGCAACCTGCAAACTTCTCATCTGTGAGCTTCCTAATAAAAGATTATTAGCATTTTAGAAATACAGTAACATAGAAACAGAGCGAGTCAGAAGGAATCTCCTGGGTCATCTAGTCTGACTCCCTGCTCAAGTTGGCTCTGCTCATGACATGCCTACCATGTGCATGTCTAGCCTATATTTGAACACCCTCACTGATGGGGCCTCAGCCACCTCCTGTGGAAGCCCATTCCACACCCTCGGGGTCGTAACTGTCAGGAAGTACTTCCTGGCATCCAAATTGAACCTTGGTTCCCTAAGCTTGGCTCTGTTGGTGCACTTCCTGCCTTCCTCTGCAGGGAAAAGCAGGTCTCTACCTACCTCCGTATAATATCCCCTCACAAACCTATACATCACCAACAGATCCCCTTGGAGTCTCCTCCTGGCTGAAGAGGCCCAGTTCTCTCAGTCTCACCTCATACAGCTTTCCCTGCATTCCAACCATCATACCTGTGACCCTGTGCTGCACCAATTCCAACCTGGCTATATCCTTCCTGTAATGTGGAGCCCAGAACTGAACACAATACTCCAGTTGTGGGAGCACCAGAGTCATACAGAGTAATAGTAATACCTCTCTCGCTCTAGAAGCCTTCTGCCTATGCAACCATGGGTTGTGTTTATGTCTCACTGTTGACTCATGTTTAGCCAGCAGTCAACCAGTACCCCAAGATCCCTTTCACAAGTGCTGCTCTCCAGCCACTTGTCCCCTTGCCTGTACTTATGGCACCCGTTCCTATGCCCCAAGTGCAAGACTTTGGATTTTTCAACATTGAACACCATCCTGTTGCCCCCTGCCCACTTTTAAGATTTAGGGCTGCAGCAACCAGGTGGTGGGGAGCATAAAGAATCAAGAGGGAAGACAGTACAAGCATGGTAGTGGATTGGATGAGGCCCAATAAACCAAGGCTTAATTCAGGCAAGGCAGAGATAAGGCATAGAATCAGTGATGTGCAAAGCATTCCAGGGATAAGTACACCATTACACCCCTCTGAAGGATCAGGTTTGTACTTTGGGGTCCTTTTTCCAGGTGGCTCCGGGTGCAAATCGGGAAGGGTGCCACTTGGTAATGCACTGTGACAAGCCTGCTTAGCGTTTTGAAGGGAAAGCTGCTCCCATCACTCACCATGTGGTCCTCATAGTGCAATCTCAGTACAGTGGTCCAGAGCACCATCAGATTCAATTGTATCAGGTAAGTTTCAGTTATCAAGGCCGGAAGGGATGGATGGAGCCTGATCACCGCCCCCACCACCCTGCATCTTCTAGGGAAGGGGATATTCAGCTGGATCCAGGCAGTTGGGCATTCTTCCTTGAAGGGTGGTGCCAGGCTTTTCAAAAGAGTTGTTAAATGACTCGTGGAAGAAAACATAATCCGGACCCTGATAGCGATCATGACTGTTGGCCAGCTGCCAGCTTCCTCTTGGCCAGGTGTTCCAATTGGGGGTCCTGGACCTCAACAGCTTTTTTGTAGACTGAGATAGCTTAGTGAGAGTTTTCCATGCCCTGGTCACCTCTGGTCCATATTTGTGTGGTGTATTATACAAGGGTCTCCCTTTGAAATCTTACTGGAGACTTCAGCTAGTCTTCAGTACAACAGCAAGGTATTTATTTATCTAAAGCTTTTATAGACCGTCCATCTACTGGCAACTCGGGACGGTTTACAAGTTACAAGTTAATGGGTACTGGTCAAAGCAATCATGCCAGGACTTTCTCATCAGTACTGGCTGCCCATCCTTACAGATCCGATTGAAAAACCCAGTATTAACATTCAAAGCCCTATTGATCAGGTTGCCTGAAGGAGCATCTTTTCCTATATGGATGTGCCCAGAGCCTGTTTGTAGATTTTGGGAAATTTCCAGCAAAGAAAGATGAGTGGCTACTGAAAGGACTTTTCTGTTGTGGCTCCACAATTGGAATTCTCTGAGACTGACATGAGGACCGTATTTTTCCAGGCATTTCAATTTCTCAGTTTCTGTAATTTAAAATCTGTTGCTGTGTTTTAAAGCGTCCTTCTGCTAGGTTTCATTTTAGGTTTTTAATTATTATTTTATATTGTACTCTTAAATGTTCTTGTATATTATTGTTTATGGTTTTATTACTGTGAACCACCCAGAGAGTGTCACTACTGTGCCAATATATAATAAAAATACATAATTGTTTACTCAATCAGGTTCTTATGTCTTAATCCTAACAAAGATACCCAGCAACTTTGGGGTAACCTGTGATGTGAAATATCCTCTTGCAGTATTTTGGGAAGACTCGGCTAATCAAAATAGACAATACTGGGCTAGATTGGAGCATCCAAAGCTGGCCCGGCCTGGGCTCCAAATCAAGCCCTCTGTGATTCTGCAGGTGGCCATCCTCACTTTTCCTGCTCCCACCGCCTTTCCCCCATTGGTGGAATCTTGCTTTGGACAGTTCCACCATGCTAAAAGCCTGAAATGCCCTATAAGCTCTAGGGCACAGTTCTCTGGCCTCCTGACATTGCCTCCTTGAACTTGAAGCTGAAACTGCAAATGCAGAGCTTACATCCTGTCGTCGTGTGGAAAGAAACCATCTGGCTGCCTCTCCGAGGTTGGAAGTCAGCCTTGGAGAGAGGGCCAAAGAGGTGTGCCAGGAAGCAGGAGAGCGAAGAGTCTGGGACTGACAGTTGATTCTGAATGCAAGTGGCAGTCTTCCTTCTTCCTTTCCTGTTTGCGCTTCATCTGGACACCTGAAAATGACTTCTAGGGAGAAATACAGGACACAAGACACAGAGCTTGTGCCCTGCCCTGGATGGATGTAACCCTCTGTGTTCAGATGCTTATGTGCATGAAGGATGGAGAACATTGTATTGTGGCCTTTAGCTATCATAGGCTTGGGGGTGGTATTTTGGTCCCAGCCACTGAGAGAAAGCAGCTGACCAATTGCTTCTCCAAAATACAATTTGACCCTTGGGCTGAAAGGCATTCAACTTCCTTAAGCTGGATGGAGGTATAGTCCAGTCCATCAGGGCAGCTTCCTAGGTTTCTACAACCAAATAATCACAATAAGAAAGCCTCCACTAAATACAGTTGGGCCACATATTAAGAACTAATTGAAATGCAAATATCTGTGAAAATGGACATGGGGTTATTTTCCCCCTTCCACATTCTTCAACTTTTCAACTTCTCAAATGACCACGATCAGCACATTTCTGGGTTGCAGATTTCCTACACTGCAAACCTTTCAAATCATGTTACACTTATTTTGTAACTGTTGAAACATTTGGCTGCCTGATTATTATTCTTTCTGAATGAATTTATTTTGCTGTATATCATCAAATGCATTGCATTGCTTGCTTCTGTGATACTTTGCAACTGGCCAGGCTCTTACAGGAACTGTGTTTTTTCCTATTGAAAGCAAACCCAGAGCAGAATTCCATATTCAATACTAGCATGCAACTGGAGGCTGCAATTACAAGAGTTTTTGGGTGGCAGGAACATGGAAGAAATGTTGTGCATCCAGTCTGCTACTGACTACTCTGAATATATTGCTAGATACTTCATCCAGATGTCAGTGGATGAAGAGTGGAGATCCTACACTGGTGAGGAATTGTGTGTTTCATTTTAAAAATACAGTATGAGCTTGTTCTTCTCCCTCTCTTTACATTTTCTCTGTGAAATCCCAAAATCTCTCTCACACACTCACACACAATGGGAATACAGCTGGTATAATCAGGGCATTTCTAGATCCTAGCCTAGTAGCCAAAGACCAGCCCTAAATTCACAATCTTGTGCTAGTTCAACAAACTCCTATTGTAATGAGTGTATTTGCCAGGAACTTGAGGTGGAGCCCTTGACTACAGCTGCCATGGCCTAGTAACCTTAAGTTAATCTTGACATTAATCTCTGACGAAGACTTATTGCAAATGAAGTTATGTATTTACATAATGAAGGTGTTGCATCGGGCTGACATGCCAGAGAAGACCGGAGCATTTTCTCACTTGGAGTATCAGGGTAATTATAAGCTCCCGAGAAGGCAAGGGCTGGACAGAGCTGGGACAGAAGCTGCAGCCTGGTGAGAGGAGATAGGAAGGAAGGTGGAATGGAAGACAGAGGGACTGAACTGGACCAGTGAGGAAGCGGGAAGAGCAGTGGACTGCCAGAAGTATTGTTGAGAGTGGAAAACACCATGGAGCATAATTAAAGGAGGCAGAAGTTGCTGAAGGAACTGATTTTCTGGTCACAACTGAGACATCTAATTGGTTTTGATCTTGTCATGTGTGGGTATGTGGTCCATGATAATTACATGGGTGTGAAACTCTTCTCACTAAACACTCCAAAAGCAGAGCTTTATCGGACCAGAAGTGTGTGAAGCATAGGAGACATCTCTGCTTAAGGCTAGTTACTATTTGTGAGAAGCTTTAGGGTCAGGTTGGCCTGAAAGGAGCAAAACGCAACAGTCCAAGGGATCCACATTACCTGTTCCTGCTTGGTTACTTGTCGCCTGGTCTGAACCTTCTCATCCTACACCACTGAGATGGATCAATTGCTGGCAGTGAAAATCGGCTGCCTAGGTGGTTTACTGGTGGTCCCACTCCTTTGTGGCCTCATCCCAACTCAGATCAAATGGTTCCAGATCAACATGGCCAGAGGTGAGAAGCTGGCAAAGGGAATGGGGGTGTCTCCTAATCCTCAGAGGGACGGGGAGGTAATGCAACTCTCAGAACAACCTTGTCCAGGAGTACAAAGATTGAGATAGAATGGTTGGGAGGCAAGATAATATAGCATGCACTCCCAGTTGAAAACAACTTTGTCATTAACTTGGTAGCTGGACATGCATTGGGAAGGCACCTCACTTATCATGGAGTGTCTAGATTTTATACAGTATGTATATGACTGCCCTGATTTTTGCCATCATAGCACATTTTTTACTATACTGTTGACATGAAAGAAGCTGTGCAAACATGTTACATTACATCTCCATGCCTCTAGGACAGCATTTCCCACTAAATGGTACCTACATTTGTGTTGGCCAGCTTGAGGGGTGCAAGGAGTTGTAGTCTTCTAGAGGTTGGAGAAGGCTTCTCAATGAATGTAAAAGCTAATATTTGAAGTGGCAGGAGGATAGGACAGCACAAGAAAGCTAGAAAGATGGGAAGAGGGTAGAATCAGTGGGGAATGGTAAAACCCAAAGATTTGTTGTCCTTTCAAAATGAGTGAAAGATGGATAAAAGTAAATATGTGAGCAGTAAGACTCCATGGGGTGTACTACCTTACTATGTTATCAGTGTTACAGATAGGACTGGACCTCAGATCAAAAGCCCATGCCCCAGTGGACCCAGACAGCAGGTGATAAAGCAAACTCCAGTTTGTTCCAGTTGTCGTGATGCCTACCAGCCTTTCTTTCTTGTTTTCTTTCCCTCTTCCTTTTTGGTGGAGGAAAGATGATTGTGCCAAAATGCAGATGTTCAGGAGCTGAGGCCAATTCCAGGCTTCTCCAAACTGGTGGTCTCCAAAAATTTTGGACTGCTACTCCTAGTATTCCAGTCCCTTGTTTGCACCTGCTGAGGTCCATGGAAGTTGATGTCCAAAACATCTGGAGAACATCAGGCTGCAGAAATCTGCCCATATATAGGTAGAAATCTGCTGTTGCTCTGGGGAGCTGAGTCCTCCCCCAGCTCCCCAGAGCTAATCTGAGGAGCTGCAGGCAGCTGGAAACAATCAGTACTTCCATCATTTTCCACTCTCCAAACCTGGAATCCATACATGGAGGATGAATGACCAGGGCTTCAAGCACCTGAGCATATAAAACAACTACACACACACACACACACACACACACACACACACACACACACATATATTTAAATGGGTACACAGGAAAGAAGGATCAGCAATTCTGTTTGCTTGTCTTCATCTAGCATTTGAGTCTTTAAAATCTCAAGTGCTTTCCCTCTTGAACATGAAGAACTTGGCCTTTTTTTACAACTTCTTAGCAGAAACAAACTGCAGGGCTTCTCCATCCATATGACCCAGATTCAGTAGGCACAACTTTGCACAGAAAGGACTGCAGTGTGCCTACCTGCCACATTTTCGGTAAAGATGAGGAACCTGATTGGGCATGTGCAGGAGAAAGAGGAGGCAATGCAAAGGTAGCAATTGCACAATTAAATGCACAGGGATACAAACCCAGACTTTTAAGGGGAAAGTACCCAAAGACCTGGAGGAAGGACTCCATCCATTTTGTTTTCTTGCCAAATGCTCAGATGTTTTTCATCAGAAATACTTTGTGTCCCAAATTAACACAACTTCTGGAATCTCAGCAGGTACTTAACAAAAGTGGACCAAAGTTCTTATCTGCCATTTAATAATGCTGGCACGTTTCCGCTGAGCAAACACTGTGGTGCTTCAACCGAAGAGATACTTCAATATTTGCAGGTATCTCTTGATCTTGGTGGGTATTCACTGCTAGTCATGCTAGTATAAATTCTCCAGTAGGGCACGGATAGATAGTCTTATCCTGAGTTGCTGTAGAGCTGGAATAATCACTCTCCCTTTCTTTGGGCACCCCATTCAGGAAAGCATCGGCGAATCCTCAGTTTCATCGGCTGCTTTGCTGCCGGAGTGTTCCTTGGGGCCTGCATCATGCACATGGTGGCCGATGCACTGGGGGACATCCAAGAGGAAATAAAAAAGCGACAGCGACAGGTGAGTGTTCTCACAGGAGCCTTTTCACTTGCATTTCCCTGCAGCAGTTTGGACGGTGGGAGAATTCGTGCTTTACAGGCACAGGGTCTCCGTTTCAGTCCATGGCAACCCCAGTGCCAGTGGCAAGCAAGAATTTTGCTTGAGGCCCTGGAGTCACTGCCAGTCCAAGTAAACTCAGAAAAGTTGAACCTGGGGGACTGTGGGCCAAATCCAACCCCCAACAGAGTCCTAAGCTTGCACTCCAAAGGTTCCCAAACTGTGCCAATTTTTTCAGTAATTCCTGGATTCTTTATGCTGTATTTGTGCTGTTACAATGATGTAGGCTGGGGAGGGGGAGTCATATTATTTATAAAGTGCTACATACAATAAAATGCCTAAGTGGTTTACATATGAAATTAAAATCGCATTTAAAATATTAATATTAAAATTGCATTTTAAATCCATTTCATAATATAAGAAGAAGCAGCAATGCAGGAGCAGCAATGATCTGATTCATGAGCTGGGAGAAAGTTCACAGTTCAAAAAGCTGAATTCAGGATTTGGAGATTCATCAGGTTACTTTAAACTGGAGCATGTTGCTTCATTTCGCATCCACCATAGCTATTGACTCTGACCTCCGAAATACATTCAACTCTGATGTTGTGTCCACATACAGGGAAAGTTTCCATACAAGCAGAATGGCACCTTGGAAAATGGCGACAATTCTGAGGTGGGTGTCCCCTTTCTGAAGCATTTCTCTTTTTCCTAATTCCAGATGAACTTGGGATAGGCACCAACCATTGTGATCAATTAAGACAGTATCTCCAATTCCTGTACTTCTCAGCCAACATGGCCAATGTAGGAGTTGTAGTCCTACCATTGGCCATGCTGGCTAGAAATTATGGGAGCTGTAGTCCTCCACAGCCAGGAGGCACCAGGTTGGGGAAAGCTGATTTAGGGATTTCTCTACTCTAGGAGTTAGCAAAAGTATAAAGTGTTCCCTGGCTCTTCTACCTCTGGGCATCAGCTTGTAATTTTGTCAACCTCATAGACTATCAGCTCCAGTCTGTGGCGAAATGTTTTTAATGTTGCACAAGCAGATGATACATGAGAGTCAAACCTCGAGCTTGTTCTCCATGGGCTTCATGACCTGTTTAATGAGAGCTTCAAGCATCCTGGGTTGCTCTGGTTTGGTTTCGGTACTGATTAAAGACAAAGGTAACCACAGTAAACATTTGAACACAATAGCTCGATTGTGCTGAAGTTCTAAAGTTACATATTTGCATTTGGTGTTGATTCACTTTTTTAACGAATCAAATTTAATGAATCGCCTACTATTCTGGGAGCTTTGTTGGGTTCTAGAGCAAAAATATTGCTCTAAACTGATTTTGTAAAGGTGAGCTTAGCTGCAGAGAAATGTTGCAAAACAAGTGAACACATATCAAACATAAAGCACAGCCTTCTTTGACCATGTCCCTACAGATGTGTTGGACTACAATGCCAGCATTGCTGACTAGGGTACTGGGACTTACAGTCCAATACATGGTTGGGCACCATGAGTGCCAGTGGAATATTTTTTGCCCCCTCCTCAACTTAACTGACACACAGGAGCCAATTTTCAAGAGGTGGGCCATGCTTCCCACATGCTTAACCACTCCCCCCACCAAATCTTCCCCTGTGTGGCAACTAAACTTAGGAAAAAATATTTTCCATTGATCAGGGTGCAAATAAGCTGAAAACTCCATTTTGTTTGAGAGAATCTCCTGTAAAATCTTAGTAATAATTGATAAATGTACATACAGACTGAGAGAGAGAGAATTCTGTTGTATGGTCCTGAGTCCTGAATCTTTTAAATACCCAGCAATATACCCGGACTGGAGAGAGAAGAATTCCAGTCCTCCTGAAGCTTACCAGGTGCCTCTTGCTTGCCACCATGTCTCATTCCACCATATCTCACAGGCTTGTTGTGAGTATCAGTGGATGATGAATAAAACCACTGGGCTAGCCTGAACTCCTTAGAAGAAGGAATGCAATACTGATTCAAGGATTCAAGTGCAATACTGAAAAATGGGACGTCATTTCTTCTTGGAGGATACATTACATAATGGAGAGAACCCAGCTACTCCCAACACACATTTGGGCCATCTTCCCAAATGTGTTCAGTGTTTTTATTTCTCACGTGTAACTTTCTGCATTTGGGTGTGAGCATCTCCTCCTTCCTCCCCAGACACAGCACAAAGCAATGTGCTTCTCAAACAATCCTATGGTGTCCCTTGATCGCCACCTGTTGGATCACCTTTGAATGGATCCCTGTAGCCCTTTTCTCCTATTTTGGCCACTGGGACTTTTGAAAGCTCTTTATTAAGACTTAAGTAACAGTCAGCACTTCTGGATAGATGAGCAGAGGGCAGAAACTCTTCTCAGGTTTTCTAAAAACACATCCCTTCTGGGAGTTGCACTGTTCAATGGATTCCGAAAGCCATGCCGTTCCAAGAACTGCTTGCCCTGTGGCATGAAGAGATTCCTTTGGAGAAATAGCATGCTCAAAGTGATGCTTCATGGGCAGAACACTGTACAACTCGTTGAATCATATGGGCAAAGCAACAGATGAGGGCAAAAGATTAAATGGAATGTCTTACTTCAGGAAATTTGCCAGAGTCTTCTTTGCTGAGTTTTAGGTGCCTGGCAAAAGCCTTCCTTTTTCAGAGTACTTATGGTGCTGCTTAGACCATTCTGGCTATTTGCCCTGTTTTATAATACATTCTATTATATTTTTTATTTAATAATGTATATCATGATTTTATCCTGTTCTATTTTATTATATTTTAAATTGCATTCCTTTTATCTAATGTTATTTTATTGGCATTTATTATAGTAATGGCTGCACAGAGAACGTGATTCCAGTGGGCAGCTCTCAAATAAATGCAATAAATAAATAATAAATGAAGTATTTCATCGGTTTCTAGGCTAGGGTCTAGGTGCCACCTGCAGTCCCATTAGGCTAGGGTCAGAAAGTATATTATTGTATAGTATCATATTATTTATATTATAGTATTTCTATTCTATTATTGATGTTATTATTACATTGTATTGTATTATATTATATTGCATCATATTATATTATATATACTAAAGGAACTAATATAACGCCTTCACTTTCCACTCCCCTTCCCTCCCTCCCTCCTTGTCCATGGCAGGGCTATCCATTTGGGGAGCTCGTCATCTCCTTGGGCTTCTTCCTGGTGTTTGTGATCGAGAGTACAGTGCTCCATTGCTGCCCGCAGGCTGTGCATTCTCATGGTGACCAGGAAAATCAGGATGACCACAAGGACCAGCCAGAAGCACACAACTCTTTCCGGGCATTTGTGCTCTTCCTCTCACTGTCCTTCCACTCCATCTTTGAGGGCCTCGCCATTGGTGTCCAGAAGGAGATGACGGCTGCAGTCCAGCTCTGCCTGGCAGTGCTCATCCACAAAGCCATTGTGGCCTTCAGCTTAGCAATGAAGCTGGTGCAAAGTGGCACCCAAACCTTCTGGAGGGTGCTGTATGTGGTCTTCTTTTCTCTGATGTCTCCTGCTGGTATTGGCGTGGGCATCGGTGTCTCTTTTTCCAATGGTGATGGGAGCGGCCTGGCCCAGGCGGTGCTGGAAGGGGTGGCAGCAGGAACCTTCCTCTACGTCACCTTCTTGGAGATCCTTCCATATGAACTACGCTCTCATGAAAGCTCCCTCAGTAAGTTCTTCTTCATCTTCCTAGGCTTCTCTATCATGGCCATCATTGCTATCTGGGCCTGAAGGTTCGGTGACTGAAGGGTCCCTATGAAAACTGTTGCTGACTGTAGGCCTTTGGGTGAGATTCTCTCAATGGACTCACAACCTCAGTGAGTCTATCTTCACACAGCCATTGCCACCACCTGCTGTTGCTCCTCATCTTCCTTGTCATCATTGCTAGTCCTTTTTTGGCTAACAAGCAAGGAGCCAGGGAGCAAGTGGACCACCATGCCATATGCCCATTCTCCTCACCAGTGCCATTGCCAGGACCAGAACAAAAGACAGGTGAACAAAGGCTTCAAAGGTGAAGAGAAGAGCAATTCAATGGGACCCGGGTCTTCTGGGGGCACAGTTATGCCTGCTCCTGGCTCTAGTCCTGAAGGAAACCCATCACAATTCCACATCTGGATGTTTCCCTTTCCAGAAACACCTTTATCAGCTGCCATTTCCACCCCTTGTGTCTTGGAGGGAGAAGTGACACCGCTCTGCATTCATAAGGACCCAAGTGCCATTTGGCTTCTTGACCTTCCTTTACCTGAATTGACTTTTGGTTGGTTGGTTGGTCAGTCTTCCATGTTCTTTTTGTATTGTGCCTGTTAAATTCTAAGCCTTGATGTTTATACAGTGAACCATCTTGAGTGCAGTGGTAGAAAGGAGACCTGTATGTAGATGATGGTGGTGGTAGTGGTGGTGGATGATGATGAACACCAACCCACAAAGGGAAGGAAAAGGTCAGAGGAAAACTAAGGCCTCCAGGACCAAATACTGGATGGTGGGAGGGGAAAGCATCATTTTAATCGGCAGTGATTTCTCCATGGTACTGAAAGACCACAGTTACTAGCAGCAGCTGACTGCATCCACGAGAAGCATGATAGCTGAGAGCAAGCAATTCTGCTACCTCCACAATCCGTAACCTTTTCACTCCATGGAAACATGAATGTGCAAGGTTTCCTGGAAAGAACTCTGGGTCTAGCAGGGGACCAAGAAAGGGGAGACTGAGACAGGAAGTAGAGGCTGCTTGCTGATTTTGCATCTGTGGATCAAAACAGATGCTCATGATCTGCTTGCATTGTATTTCTCTCTCTCTCTCTCTCTCTCTCTCTCTCTCTCTCTCTCTCTCTCTGGGGGGGGGGGGTGGCGGGAGGTGCAAGCTGCTTGGCCACTGTGTGACCAAAATGTTGGTTTAGATGCACCCTTGGTCTGATCCAGCATGGCTCATCTTAGGTGAGGGCAGGTGATCTACCCTGCTTAAGGCATTTCCTTGGAAAGACGAGCTCTTGCTTCCATACTGCTAAGGGTGGACAAGGCAAAGCAGGCAGTTACACAAGGTGTCCTAGTATTCGTGGTTCCAAACCAGAAGTTTTTAGAGGAATCCGGATGCATTGCATGCTCTACACTGCTTTGTTGACCTAAGAAGTCTTCTCATTGAACTCCCCTTGCTTGCTCTCCCCAACTAGCATAGCAATGCTCATACTCAATCTTTCTCTGAGTTGCCTCAGGTCCCTGGTTATGGTTCAGGGCATTAGTGGAAGGGAAAGTGCAGTAACTATCTTGTGTAGCTTTGTGCTTGACCACAGCAGATGTCCCAATCTTCATTTTGGACACGTAAGCTGTGCTACCCCCCCCCACCCTTTCTTTCCACAATTCATGTGCCTATGTCTATTGTACAGTGCAATAAAAGGTTTTGTGTCTTTTCTTAACAATCAGAAGAGGGCAAACACTTTAGTGAAATGTTTTCTCCAGTTATACTCTGGTTGGAGGACTGCAGAACAGTGATGGTTTGTCCTGGGCTTACTAAAGATACAGTCAAGACTATTGTTGCTTCTTCTGGAGATTCCAGTGTTCATTTAAGCCAAAAGTATTTTAAGTCCTAAATGTGGATATGGCCCTGTCCTAGGTAAACAGAATTCTTGGGACTGGCTGTCAGGATGGCAGGTGGGAGACAAGGAACCAAAGATGGAATGACAGTGTAAGAGAGGAAAACCAGTAGGGAATGGGGAGAGGCAGGTGAGCAGAAAGCCTGGCAGGGGTCAGAACGCTTGGCCATTTTGCTCAACCCATTGCATGACTGAGGCGTCTTAGGGGAAGGAGGCCCAGTGGAGAGAATCAAGCCTTGACTGGTGATTGACTGCAGGAAGTGGAGAGAGGTGGTTGGAGAAAGATTACTTACCCCATCATGCAGTCTTCCCCACCATTTTTCCCAGATAGAGGACAGTTTGCGGCAAGGCCTCACTGTAGTATTGGAGAACCAGATCTGAGTCCCAACTCTGGAAGCACCAGCTGTGAAGAACACCTGCCTTTGCTCCTCCTTCCCTTCTCAGTTCTGAGGAAGTCAGGCTTGAAGGGGTGGGGGAGAGAGAGGGGACTTGCCCGGAGCCCTGTGGGCTGGATTCCCATCCCTTCCTTACCGAGTTCTGTCACCCACACCACCCAAGACTGCATGTGATGATGTGATGCTTTAAGGCATACAGCTACACCTTCTGGCGTGAATTCATGTGTGGAGACTTTAAGGTTGAAGTCAGCCACCCTACAACATTCAGGAGGGAGCCTGCCTGGAGAAGAATGAAGACAACAAACCAGGAAAGGTTCCTTGAAGAGACAACTCCAGCCCTGTGAGCTACCAACCCTTTTGCTGTGGAGGAATTTCCTCAGGCTATTAACCACTTCACTTAGGAGTGCTGCAACCTTGAGGAAATATGCCCTTTGGGGTGACAGTGATTGTCTGGGATCCTCTTCAGGCAGAAGAGAGGTGGTGGATTTTCCCCTCTGCTCCAAACTCAGGAGTTGTGCCCCAAAAGAGCAGGGCCTACTGCATTCTGGGGGCTTCACTGCATGAGGGGCTGAACCTGCATCTTAGTGGAGGTATCTTCTCTTTTCATTAGGGAAGAAAAATGCCTCCTTTCCAAGATACTTTTTCTGGATGTTTGCAGTTCTCTGCTTTTCTATATACATTTGGTACTGTGCTGTAACTACCATATCATGGATTTTCGTTTTTCATTAGGCTGGTTGGTTGTGATTTAAAATTTAACACCAGATTTCCCTCACTTTTAAAGCAAACAAAAAACCAAAATGAAACATCCTGCATAAAAGACTGACTGGAAAACTTAGGCAAGGCCCTGGAGGACAACAATATCATGAAGAGGCCCTGCTGTTGCAAGCCAGGTTTTCCCCCTTCAAATTTCCAAAGCACAGGCTGTTCTTTGGCAAAAGTTGTTAATCTACAATGCTCTTCCAATAAGCACAACAAAGAAACAATGAGTTTCTGAGTATGCACAGACTAGTTCATTGAACCCAACCTACTAGTACTTCCTAAGCTTCCTCCTTTGAAGTTCCCTTGTGGTCCCTCTCTCTAGGATGTCTCTTTTGGAGATGAGCAAGCTTCTTCTCTATCCATCATCCCTCTGGTTGGTTGGCAGGTCTCTCCTGAGGTCACATAAAGGAGTCAAGAGTTGTGCCAGGCTTAGCTGACTACAGGAGTTCTCGTGCACTTCCTCCTTGCAGTTGCAAAGCCTGACTGGTCTCAACATTTGCCTGGGTGTATGGCAAAGATAAGCCCCTCCAAGTCTTGAATTTCAGAGTCCAAGAATTTTGCTTCCCAAACCCTCTCCATCCGGGAAGTCTGTATCTGCCTCACCTTGGAACATGAGCTGAGAATAACTGTCCTCTTGTGCTTATATCATTATCATTTCAGCTCTTACTCTACAGTAGGGGCAGGGCCCCTGTCCAGGATCTTAAAAGCCCCCCATACTCTTGTCCTGATTTGCACTGGGCTTCCTGCTCCTTAAGTAGAGGAAAACTGAAGTGGAAAAGAAATAAAAGTTTCAACATCATGTGAAGTGTCTGTTCTGGCCTTGGTTTTTCTAAATACATTGGCCCTTAGTTCTATGGCAGGAAGAAGTCCAGCCCACAGTGGGCATAGGAACCCCTCCGGAGACATTGAGGTGTGTTTTCCTAAACTGTGTGGACTAGGAAGGGCAATTGTGTAGCCTGTAATCATCATAATTAATGTCATGCAGTCATTGAATTGCGGAATGATGTGGAAGACACAAGAACACAATAATCTACCTTAGGAGTTGATGATTCCCTCCACTGCAAGTCTAGTCTCAAAACACCTCCTTTCAGATGCAGTTACTCAAGGCTGACTGAAAACAGGCAGCATTTAAGACAGGAATGTGTGAGAACTCAGCATGATGTCGGCGCAAAACTAAAGCCTGCATTGCACCACCATGTTTTCAGGGTGATCTGGAAGCCCATTTGAAGACGAAGGGTCTTGGTAGCTCTGCGGTATCGGTCAATATGAGTGTGTCAAAGTCTGATGGGGGCCTGGATGTGCTAGTGGGCAGATGGATGCCTTTGCCGCTCATTCTTTTGCTGCTGCAGCTACCCCATATTGCCAACAAGAAATGGGGCAACAGCTGTGCTTGGCATCTGAAGCCTCAAAAGCACATTTATGGCTTTCGAGAAGATATTGTCATCGGTGAATTTGTGTCTCTTCTGATTCCTTTACTGAATGAACTTTCATTTAACATGACCCCACCTGAGATGGTACATGCGTAGTAAGTTGACCTTTTATTATGTGAAGCAGGTTTATGCAAAAAATGACCATTCTGTCTGAATATGCTGCTGTACATATGGAGAGATGGCTTTTGATTTAAGATCTACTAAATCTGAGCCATAGAATCCCCAGGCCAAGACTGCAGAACCTGTGATCCTCCAGATGTTAGGGGCTCTCCCATTCCCAACAGGTCGAGCTAGCATGACCCATTTTCAAGATCTACTGCTGTAGTCCAGAAACATCTGGAGGGCCACTGGAGGTCCTTCAGCAAAGTTTTCAGCACTGCATTTGTTCCTGATGAGTGATGGATTCCCATGATGAAGGGTAAAAATAAGCATACTGTTCATGAAGATTAGGCTCACAACCTACAAAAGAATCAGAAACCATAGAGATATGAATAGTGTAGAAAGACATAAGAAAAGAGGAAGCACTTTTTAATGGTTAAGATAGTTGAAAGGTCAAGGAACTG